TGGTGGGGAATATGGCTGCACACAAGCAGGCATGGTGCTGGAGCATCTGATAGCTCATCTCTGGATCCATAAACAAGAAACAGAGAGCACATGGCAGAGGCTTCTGGAATCTTAAACTTACCCCAGTGACATGCCTCCTCTAACAAGGTCACACTTACTAATCTTTTTCAAATATCCACCAACTGGGAACCAAATATTCCAATGACTGAGACTTAACAGGGGATATCTCAATCAAGCTACTGGACCGCACAGTTGTAGTCACGAAGAGAAGCTCCGGTAGGAGATCAAGGCAGGAACCTGGAGGCAGGAACTGAAACAGAGACCATGGAGGCATGTTGCTTACTGGCTTGCTCAGCCTCCTTTCTTATACCATCTAAGACTACTTGCCCAAGAGTGATTTCACTCACATGGGCTGGGCCCTCTCACATCAATCATTAATCCAGAAAATGCTCTACAGACTTGCCTACAAGGCAGTATGATGGAAGCATTTTCTCAGTTGACATCTCCTCTTCTCATTTGACCTTGGAATGTGTCAAGTTGACAAAACCAGCCAGCATACCTTGTAAAGCCAGATGGTAGCAAAAGCATGGGAGGTGTATTCAGGAGAAACCCTGGAAGCTTATGGACCAGCTGGCCTGGTAAATGCAGCAACAGACAATAGACCCTGTGTAAAACAAGGTGGAAAAGCTAGGGCTGACACTTGAGGTTGTTCCCTGTCTTCCTCCACTTGTGCAGACACACACATACACACACACACACACACACACCCTTAGACAGACTGGTAGGGACATAACTTTCAGACATTGCTTGTTTTTTAAGATTCAAGTAAATGTGTAAAGAAGACATATCTAGAAAACATGAATACCTAAATTGTTGTTTAATAAGTATATGTATGGAAGTCTTGTTGATGACATCATCCTCATAGAATAAAAAACAGAGAAGATCTTGAGAATATAGAGTTCAAACTGAGCCTTAAAATGTTAGTGAACATAGGAACACACTTGTCAACAGAAACCGAGTGAGAAGTGGTAGGATTTTTGTATATCTCATAAAGTTCTAAATGATTCATAACTTCAAGTAGTCTGTGAGATATGTGCTGACATTCCAGGTGGAGTAGTAGCTAGAAATGAATAGAAATGTATTTTCTATCTTACTTAGGGAAAGGAAAGAGAAGGAAATAGATCCACTAACCAGTCTGCACAGGCTAGTCAGCGGGGATATCTAGATTTTGTAATTTCCTCAGAGTGATGGTTGAGAACAGCAACTGTGTAGAAGGAAAGTTCTAGCACAGCAGTTCTCAGCCTTCCTAGTGGTGTGGCCCTTTACTGAAAGTTCCTCGTGTTGTGGTGACCTTAACTATAAAATTATTTTGTTACTACTTCATTGTTGCTAGTTGTATTAGAAATGAGGCGCTGAGCTAGCTCCGGCTAGCCACCATCTAATTTCCCACTCCAATGCTTAACACCAACCAGAGCTCCAGAATCTCCCACCCAGCTCTCCAAGTTCCCACTGGTGGGTCACTACCACGTCATTTCCGTGCTTCAAACCCCCACAGCCTCTGAGGGACACATCAGGCAAATCCAGGCTTTGCGGCCATACCCTTCTCAAACTCGCTTGTGTCACCACAAGAAGAAAAACACCACACAGAGTTTAGGAACAATGGTAACTCAATCTCTGGGCGTGACAACTAAAACCTAATCTTTTAAGCCTTATTAAATCTAATCCTCTGGTGGTGGATCTTTGATCCACCATGATACCGAGAAAGTCTTCCACTATATCTTGTCTTTGTGCTCACCCTCATCCAAAAGCCCTCTCCTTCTCCTCCTCTTCCTCCTCCTCTTCCTCTCTTCCCCATCCAGCCTGGAAGTCCCTCCTACTCGCCTAGTGATTGGCTCCTTTATTCATAGGGGATTGGTTCACAAGAAGTCACCTGAGTGACTCACTTCTTATTTGCAGTCCCTCCCAGGACAGCAGAAATTAACATCAAAATGCAGGCTGAACAGAGCCATCCACAACACTTCATAAGCATAGTTTTGCTACTGTTATGAATTATAATATATGAATTATATAATATATGAATTATAATCTGATAAGCAACCCCCAAAGGGATTGAGACTCACAGACTGAGAACCATTGGTCTAGAATGTACTTAGTAAATTCTATTTCTCCCTCTCCCTCTCCCTCTCTCCCTCTCCCTCTCTCCCTCTCCCTCTCTCCCTCTCCCTCTATCCCTCTCCCTCTCTTCCTCTCTCCCTCTCCTTTTCTCCCTCTCCCTCTCCCTTTCCCTCTCCCTCTCCCTTTCCCTCTCCCTTTCCCTTTCCCTCCCTCCCTCCCCCTCCCTTCCTCCTTCTCTTTAGTTTTTTGAGACAAGGTTTCTATGTATAACAGCCCTGGCTGTTCTGGAACTTGCTTTGTAGATGATCTCACAGAGATCTGCCTGCCCCTCCTTCCCAAGTGCTGGGATTAAAGACGTACACCATTATACTCATTAGCAAATTCTCACTTTTAACATAACGATAGCCCTGAGACAGGAAGGTATTAGTACTTTTCTAAATGACATAATTTCTTAGATATATTGGTACGTAAAAATGCTGTGGAGTAGTGGACTCCCATGCTAACCTGGAAGACTTAGACCATGTGTTATTCTATAGCTGCATTTCTGTGATAGATTCCCAGACATGAGATAACTTGGATGAAAGCTATATGTATACTTTTTGTGTTAGTAGATTTTGTACAATTATTTTCCATGAGCTATCATTTTATACTACCACAAATGATGATGTATAATTGTGAAGTTAGGTTCTAACTTATGAGTCTGGGGAGGAGGCTCAGAGGTTAAGAGTGCTTCTGTACGAGCATGAAGACCAGAGTTTGAATCCCTAGCACTCATTAAACAAACAAAAAAAACATCCAAACAACCAACCAAACTAAAAAACCGAGGCATGGATTTACATTCCACTAACACCAGCATAGGAGAATGAAGAGACGTGGGTCCCAGTGGCTCTCGGGCCAGACAGTCTTGCCGAAATGGTGTTTCCAGTTCAGTGAGAGACCTCTCTCTCAAAGCAGTAAGGTGAAGCATGATCGCAGTGTCCTGTGGTCTCCACACTTATACACTCATGTGCATATTAAGCACACACACAGCCATATATCCAACTCAATTGGCCTTTGTCAAGGTGGTGGTTAAAAGGAAGTCCTCACTATTGTTTTAATTCATATCACATCTCTCAAGGGTATTAAGTGCTTCTGTAAATATTCATATTCTTTTTCTAATTTTTTGGTAGAATATTTCTTTTGCCTTTTTATTTATAGAACTTGTGTTTCAAAGATTGTATCCCCTATGGATGAGTAGCAGACGATTGCTACTATACAACGGCAATGGTTAACATGACGGATGGCTGCCATATTTACAAACACAGGTCTGGAGTAGACTCTTGTTTGCCACCAACTCTTATTTCTTCAGGAAAGTGATAGGACAGGGCATATATCTTTAAAAAGCACACTTACCACCATAGTGTTATTTAGAAAACAAACAGTTTTTTTCCTGTTGTCATCTTTCCCCATTTTTAATTCTTGGAATTGTATTTTAGTTACATCATTTCTTTCTTCCCTTTCCTCTCTCCAAAGCCTCCCACATTCCCCCTCCCAGCACTCCTTCAAATCTCTTTTTTCATCAACTGCCATTACATGCAAACATACATATTTGTTTTTACATACGTTTTTCTAACTATAACTTGCTGAGTTCATATACTGTTACTTGTGTGTTCTTTCTAGAGCTGACAGTTTGGCACTGAACAACCAATTGTTGGCTCTTTCCTAGGAAATACCATCTTCTTTGCTTCCAACTTTACTCAGTTGCCTATAGTTCTATGTAGTGTTGAGGCTTCGTGGTCTTTTCCCTGTCCAGTTTGACAAGTTTACTCATGTCATCCTTGCTCAGCTCAAAATTGTGGGTCATGTTGGTGAGACTTGATGGGTGTAGCTTCTGATGTTACTAGGTGACACAGTCTCACAGCAAACTCCCTGATCCTCTGGCTCTTACAGTCTTTTGCCCGTCTTCTGAAATGTTCTCTGAGCCTTAGGTGTGGGAGTGTTTTGTAGATAGATGTATCCACGGGACTGGGCTCCACAACTCTGCATATTGATTGGTTGTGGTTTTCTATAGTGCTCTCCATCTGTTGTAAAGAGAAGTTTCCTTAATGAGAGGTGACGATTATACTCATCTTTTGGGTATAAGGACAAATGTGTATAGATTGTTGTTAGGGATTATGCTGGTTTAGTAAATCTGTAGAATTAGTAATTCTCCTCCAACAACCATGATTTCACTAGCACTGATTAGTTATCTAGGTTTCCAGTACCAGTCATGGTATCTCTCCTGTTGAATTATTTCCTTTGTTTTGTTTTTAAAGATTTATTTTATGTGGTGTGTTTGTGTTCACATGCATGCATGTGTACCAGGGTGCCCACAGAAGCTGGAAGGCGGCATCCAATCCCTTGGAGCTGGAGGCATTTATGAGCTGGCTCCCTCACTTTGAATGCTAGGATCTGAACTCCAGTCCTCTGAGTAAGCACCCTTAACTGCTGAACCATCTCACTAGCTCCAGGTTTTATACTATGAAACCTTAAGAAAATACAGCTTGGCCGGGCAGTGGTGGCGCACGCCTTTAATCCCAGCACTTGGGAGGCAGAGGCAGGCAGATTTCTGAGTTGGAGGCCAGCCTGGTCTACAGAGTGAGTTCCAGGACAGCCAGGGCTACACAGAGAAACCCTGTCTCGAAAAACAAACAAGCAAAACAACAAAACAACACCAACAAAAAAGAAAATACAGCTTGATAAACTCTGCTTTACTGATGGGAAAGTTATAAACAATAGAAAATATTATGAAATAGATTGTTACTAATTTTTAAAACTTACTGATGTGAGAAGTCACAGCTCTGTTTTAAACAGAGCACCTCTCCATTCCATCTCATTCTTTTTGTTAGGTTACCACCAAAGAACATCAGTTTGGTCTCGGGGCTCCAGTTTCTGAAGCTGGAAGAAACCAGAATAGTTTCCAACTAGAACAAGAAGTGAGAACCCAAGATAGATTCATCTCTACACTGAAATTACAGGTTAGCCTTGGTTTATATTAATAAATACTTTTTAAAATTAATTTGGCATGTGGGTTTATTTTAGAACAAGAAGATGTCAAGTAAATAATTACTAATTCAGAGCTTACTTGAATCTAGTGGTCATTCAACCATTCAATTTGGGATGGGAGGTTGGTTGATTGAGACAGGGTTTTTCTCTGTAATAGTGCTTGCTGTCCTGTAGACCAGGCTGGCCTTGAACTCACAGAGATCCTTCTGCCTCCTGAGTGCTGGGACTAAAGGCCTGAACCACCACTGCCTGGCTTCATTCAATTTTTATAATCATTTTGATATAATAGATTCAGAGTTAGTGGATGAAAACTATGTATTATGTAGGATCTTGTTATGTAACACAGGTTGGCCTCTAACTCATAGCAATACTTTTGTGTTAGCCTCACAAATTCTGGAGTTACAGGGATGAGACCATGCTAGACACATGAGCTGCTTTTTTGTTTTATAAAAGGTTTATTTATTTTATGTATATGAGTACACTGTTGCTGTCTTCAGACGCACCAGAAGAGGACATCAGATCCTATTATAGATGGTTGTGAGCCACCATGTGGTTGCTGGGAATTGAACTCAGAACCTCTGGAAGAGCAGTCAGTTCTCTTAACTGCTGAGCCATCTCTCCAGCCCACCATCAGCTACTTTTTAATGCAGAATCTTACTTAGTCATTTCCAACCATGTGAGATAGTGGCCATTTCTATTGGCATACATTGCTGTTAAATTCCAAGTGGTTAAATACTTATGATATTTAGCTAGCAAATGACAAATAGGATTTCTTTGAACTTCCAAGTTAGCAGGGACTTAAATATAGTGCTTTGTGCTACAGGTGTGAGCCCGTCTAGTACATGATATAATAAAGGCTCTTAAAACAGACCTTCCTGGGGCAGATGTAGCCCAGTTGGGTAAGTAATTGCCTAGCATTCACAGAGCCCTGGGTTTGATCCCAGCACCATACAAACTGGTCATAGTAGAACATGCATGTAATCCTAGCACTCAGGAGGAAGAGGCAGGAAGATCAGACGTTTGAAGGTAATACTCAGACTTACAATGAGTTGGAGGCCAGCCAGGGCCTCCATGAAACTCTCTGCCTGGAAGTGGTAAAGCGGGGACTTTGGGGAAGATGAAGTGGACTCATTTCCTTTCCTGTTTCCTTCTGTTAAATTCAGCTTCAGACTGTGTATGTGAGATGTAAAACAGTATAACTGTTTTCCCTTTCATTAAACACAGATTCTTTTCTCATACAGTATAATCTGAACGCAGTCCCCCTCCCTCTACCCCTCCCAGCGCCTTCCCACCTCCTCTCCTATCCAGACCCACTCACTTCTTGTCTGTCACTAGAAAAGAACAGGATCCTACCAGATAGCAAAACATAAAGTATCTAAAAATATAATAACATGAAATAAAACACATCACATTGAAAGTTGGACTAGCCAAGCCCACGGAAGGATAAAGAGCCCCAGGAGCAGGCACAAGTACCAGACCACTCATTCCCAGTCAGGAGTCCACAGAGTACTCACCTGAAAGCTGTGCTCTGTGAGGTTCCTGAGCTCTGAGGGGAGGGGTTTGATGAAGACATCTTGTGTAGAACTGTGTGTGCCACGGCCTCTCTCTCTCTCTCTCTCTCTCTCTTTTCTCACCCCACCCCTACATAATGTCTGGCTGAGGGTGTCTGTATTTGTTCCTATCTGCTGCAGGAGGAGGCCTCTCTGAAGATGCCTGGCTGAACAAGGTACTGATGTATCATTAGGAGCCATTTTAGTGTTACTTTCCACTGCACTAGGTCTCCATATTACCCCTCAAATGCCCTTTAGTTCTAGTTATCTCTCTGCTTATTCTCTCCCTAAATCCCATGTCCCACCCAAGCCTCCCATCCTCATATCTCTTACACTCCATTCATCCTTAATATTTATTCTGTTTCCCCCTCCCAGGGAGATGTGTGTGTCTGTGTGTCTGTGTGTCTGTCTGTCCCTTCCACTATGCCTGTATTCTTTAAGCCTGTGGATTGTTGCTTGGTTATCATTTATTTAATGGCTAATATACATAAAAAGCTAATGCATACAATGTGGACTAAAAAAAAAAAAAACCCAGAGAAACACAAGGCAGACGACTATGGTAATAACTGCTTGCTTCAAAACAAGCAGATAAAAAACAAAACAAAACAAAAAAAACCCAAAAAAACCCAAACAACTACCGACCTTTCCTGCCAGCATAGGCCAGATAGAATCCTTTCCAGGCAGTGACAAGGATCCTCAGTTGTGCCTCTCGTTGACCTCATTTCCTTACCTCTACCCCTAAAAAGAGTCGGCATCAAGGGAAACTAAGTAGGGAACCAAGACTTTGATTTCTATCAGGTAGTAGGGAGGTGCATAGTCTCTGAGGTCAGTAGAGACCACAGAGGGCACCAAGGCATCTGCTGCTACCTGTAGTAAGAGGCACCCTTCTTGCTAGGAAGGTGTCAGAGGAGAGTTAGAGCACAGTCAGGACTTACTTCTCCTAACAAGGCCTCTCTTATGATTTGAATCTGGTTTGTTTCCCTACAGGCTCTTGTTTTGAATGGGCAGTCTCCCTCTTGTGGTGCTATTTTAGCTATTTTAGTCATAGCTGCCTGTGGTTCCAGTCTGCCCTCTGCTTCCTGGTCCACCAAGATGTGAACCAGCCCATTCTGCCTGTGTCAGGAACATTTGAGTAAAGATGAATTAAAAGTCAATGAATAAATTTATTGGTGGAGGAAATTTCAAATGTCCTTGGTGTGATGGTGGGAATCAAACAAGGGCCCTGTACATGTTAAACAAACACTCTATTCATTGAGTAATGGTCCCAGATCTCAGAAGAGGAAGTTTCAAGACTACATAATATTCAGGCTATAGCATGATTATTGCTTATTGTGTTCAGGAAGGTTTATAATGAGGGACAGGAAGTAGAGAAGAAAGATGTACAAAACATGGAGTTTAGGAGCATGCTGCCTGTTTAAAACTGCAGCACAAACAAGTGTACAAATTGTTAAAGAGGTTAGCATGGCTGGGGAAAAGACGTTCATTCACCTTGCACTGGGGCAATAGGAAAGGTACCTTGAGGAGATACTTGACTCATGAAAGGCTTCAGGATGCAAAACTGAAAAGCTATTCAAGAGATTTTTCTTTGAGAGAGCCTCAGGGGTGTCTTTTAAATGAGATAGCCTAGGGAAGGATTTTCAGTGCACAGGTACTCAGAGGCTACTCAAGCTGTGGTCCATGGGTCCCAGTTCTTGAGCTGGCAACACAACATGAGATTATCTACATACTAATTTGGAGGCATGCAGAATGTAAGAATTTTAGTTATCTTGAAGGCTTACACCAATATTTTTGACAAAATTCTGGGAAGTGAAGCAGTGAGTAGCACTGTCAGATTTCCTACAGGGAATTTGCATGAAGCTTTGAAGGTGAATCCCAAATTGTGGTAAATAACTCAGGACATTGGAGTTTTGAAGAACCTGAGATACCTGATGAGGAAAGCTGAAGCACCACGTAGATTTTGCCCAAAGAAAGTCCCCATGTGTTTCAGGCAGCAGGGCCTATGAGTGGAGATACCTAAGTCCATTGGAACTTACAGAGTGATACACATACACCATATTCCAGGCCTGGAGGACTTCAACCTGCCTCTTCTAAAGCACTTATATCATGGATTGAATAAAAGCAGGGTTTACTATCAGGGGCAAGAAGGGTATTCATGTATTTATTGATGATCCATTTGTTTTGTTTACCCACTTAACAATAAGATGAGCATTATGTACAGAATACATAATTCATGATACATAAAGGAGTTCTGCATATTGATTAGAAGTCAGTGGAAAGGACAGGTAAAAATTATTTTAATGCATCTTATAAAACACTAAGTGCTGAGAAGTTAACTCAGTCAATATGGTGCTTATACAAAGACCTGAGTTTAAAGCACAGAACCTGTGTGAAAAAGCCAGGCATGGCAGCAATTCTGCTTGTAATTCCAGCTCTGGGGAGGTGGGCACAGGCATATCCCTGGGGTCCTCTGGCCATTGAGAGACCCTATCTTTAAAATGCCAGAGTGGATAGTGCTTAAGGAATGACATTTGAGGTTGTCTTTGGTCTGCACACATATGAGCATATGCATACTACACACCACATGCATTTACAGCATGAAGGGGGTGCCAAGGAAACAGCTCAGTAGGTGGAGGGCTTGTTATGCAAGCATGAGAAATGAAATTCAGGTTTCCAGCACTCATGCAAATGCTGGCATCCTTCTGGTAACCCTGGCACACAGGAGTCAGTTGGCTAGCTAGATGGGCAAATTGGGAGCACTGAGTTAAATTGAGGGACCTTGCCTCAATATATATGGTGGAGAGCAATTAAAGAGAACCCTCTGTCTTCCACATGCATACACATGTGCACACTTACCTTTTTACCCCTGTCTGCTCATACATGTGTAAATACACACATGTGAGTACACACACACACACACACACACACACACAGTCTAGAAAAACCCACACACCAGAACCATGAAGACAGTTCAGTTGTGATTGTTTAATACTCACATCCTATGGCATATTAAAAATAGCACACTATTGATCAAAGTAGATGAGATAAGAACGGTAGGGGAAATAAAGAAATTTGGTATGATGAATGTGAAATGTCCTCCATAGGGTGAAAGTGTTTGGGCGTCTTGTCCCTGGTTGGGGCAGTGTTTGAAAATTGTGAAACCTTTGGGAGATGGGGTTGGGTTTAGAAAGTGACTTGGGGGCAGGCCTTTTAAGGTTAAACTTGCCTGAGTGCTCTGCTTCTTGGGATGACCTTGATGTAAAGACCTCAACCACACCCTTCATAGACCCTCAGGAACTGTAGTCCTGAATAATTGTCTCTACCTTAAGTTCTTTCTTCTCTCAGGAACCATGGTACCAGATAATTGTCTCCACCTTAACTTATTCTCTCAGGAACTAGGGTCCCAGATAATCATCTCCATCTTAAGTTCTTCCCCCAGAAATTATGTCACAGTGACCAGAAAATCTAATTTGCTTTGTGAAGAGCTGGTATGAGACTGGTAAGCATGTAGTTTAGCAGGAGGTTTCTCTTCAGGTTCCCACAGCTTGGCTGCACATTTAGTTTAAAGGACGCAGAAAGAAAATGTTAAGTACTCTTACCTACGAGGCCAGGAGCAGGCCAGTTTCTTTCTTGCAGTTTAAGCCTAAGAAATTTTCCCTAGGCTTCTCCTGAAGAGGATTTTATAATATATAGGATACAGCACTATAATACTTAAAATGTTCCCAAATCAGTGCAGAGGAGTGTTGTAGTCTGTCTTCAGCTTAGGTGCACACACTGGTGCAGGAAGAGTGTTGCAGTGTGTCTGCAGCTTAGGTGCACACACTGGCAAGAATGAACCCAGACGCACAGATGAGAAGGGCTAGGGTCACAAATGGTGACTTGGCATTACATTCTTAGTGACACAGTGACTTCCAGTTTACAATTTCAACGAATTTCTTTTAAAATTAAAGTAAGTCCAACTTTTATCGCTATACACACTATTTTAAAGCAACTTAATATATATTCTAATTTCCTATGTGCACTCTTAGTGTTCAGAGAACTTTCTTTAATTGTTATATGGGAGTAGGCCAAAAGAGAAGGTAAAGGGAGAAATTCAGGCCAGTCATGATAAAAGATTGAACTAGGGAAGTACTTTGTACATTTATAGATCCCCTTCCTATTTGTTAAAAAAATTCATTGTTTTTTGTTGGCTGGTTTTGATAATGTAGACTTTAAATCTTACATGTTAGTATGCTTCACAAAGTGCCATTGCTATGATTGGATTCTCATAATGACCTCATATGGTTCCTAACATGACCCATTCAGAATAATAAATGACATCGTAACATATTTAGTTAAAATAATTCATTGCTGGGTATGGTGATACGTACCTTTAATCCCAGTGCTCAGGAAACAGAGGCAGATGAATCTCTTGAGTTTGAGGCCAGCCTGATCTACAGAGGGAGTTCCAGGTTAGCCAAGGCTAAGTAGTGAGACTATGTCCCCAAAAAAACAAAAACAAAAAAACCAAACAACCAAACAAACAAAAAACCTACCACCAACAACAAACAAAACAAAACAAAACAAAACAAAAAAACAGAAAAGAAAAAAAATTCATGAACTATAGGATATTCTTCATAGAGGGACAAACATAATTTGTATTTAAAAGTAAACTTTCAGTTTTGAAAGAAGTTGTCTCTGTAATTGCTTGAAACATTCAAGGTTAAGGCACGACTGACCCAAAACTAAGACTAGACATTTAGTTTAGGCAAGTAAGTTATTGTGTTCAAAAAGACGTTTCTAGCTGGGCGGTGGTGGCGCACGCCTTTAATAATCCCAGCACTTGGGAGGCAGAGGCAGGCGGATTTCTGAGTTGGAGGCCAGCCTGGTCTACAGAGTGAGCTCCAGTACAGCCAGGGCTACACAGAGAAACCCTGTCTCGAAAAAACAAAAAAACAAACAAACAAAAAAAAGACTTTTCTAAAGAGTTAACAGAGTTTTAAACAGCAAGTAGAAATTTGATAAATTTGATTCTTTTGTTATTGATTGTTTTGTTTATTTACATTTCAAATGTTATCCCCCTTCCTCTCCAAGAACCCCTCATCCCACCCCACCCCCAGAAATTTGATTCTTGAGAGGTAAATGCCATTAATTATTCAAATTAACTTTAATTTCTTTGCTGCAGTTAAATATTTGGCTTTTTCCTCCTTGAGACAAGGTCTCTTTATGTAGCCGAGTTAGTTTTAAAGTCATGACCATCCTGCCTTAGCCTTCTGAGTACTCGACCCGGATTACGGGCATATGCTACTATGCCTGGATATTTGGATGTTCTTTTAATAGTTTGCTTAAAAAGCTATATATAGTAAGACAATAGTACAAGTTACGTGTGGGAGTGGAATCCAGGAGGGGCTGGGAGAGGGCGCGTGTGATTAGAATGTATTATATGCTGTATGAAATTCTCAAAGAATAAATTGCAAGTATTTTTTTAAAAGCTACTTAATGTACTAATTTTGTTTTGCTTTGTTTTGTTTTCAAGACAGGGTTTCACTGTGTAGCCCTGGCTATCCTAGAACCCACTCTGTAGACCAGGCTGACCTTAAACTCAGAGATTGCCTACCTCTGCCTCTCAGGTGCTGGAATTAAAGACATGCACCATTACTGCCTGGCAAAAAAACTATTTTTAAAAATAGTATTTCTATTAAAAAACATGAAATTTGACATGAAAGATGCAGTTATTAAGAAAAAATAATTTGGTGGCTAGGAATGTGGCTTAGTAGTAGGCTGCTTGCCAGGCGTTCATGGTGGCCTAGATATGATCCTTACCACACTGATTAGTTATTTAATTAATATTTTCACTTTTTCCCAGATTGGTAAAAACATGGTACAAAGTGAATAAGACACAAAGATTATAGTTAGATGTTGTTGCCAGTTAAGCAATATCTGTCTTTTTGATTCTAACACCCAATTACTTTTCTCAGAAGGAAGCTAAGGGACCTTTTTAATGTGATTACTTCCTTTTTGGTTATAACAGATTGAAGATCTCAAACAGACAAATCATGACTTGGAAGAATATGTTAGGAAACTCTTGGATAGTAAAGAGGCGGTAAGCACTCAAGTAAATGATTTAACCAACCACAATGAGCATCTTTGTAAAGAGTTGATTAAACTTGACCAACTAGCAGAGCAATTAGAAAAAGAAAAGAATTTTGTGGTGGACACTGCCGACAAAGAACTTGAAGAAGCAAAGGTAATTTATCACCAATTATATCTTAGTTGTATTTTAAGCATGTGATTGTAAAAGTAAGTTGGAAAAGTGTGATTTTCATATAATTTGGAAGCCTTTTAGTTTGGCACATGTTAAAGTTTATCATAAGGATTAAGTTATATTTTTCTAATGCTTTATTATTATTTTGTTTTTTTTTTTTTTACATTTTTTTTGCTCATATTTCCCCCTAAGTTTTTTGAGGCTATTGTGAAAATTTCAAAGCAAGAATAGTCTGTATACACAATATTACTCTACTTCCTCATTTCTTCTCTTTGTATCTCTGCAAACAGATACATTACCCATGCCTTTGTTAGAAAGGGTCTTGTTCTCAAGCCCAGGCTTGCCTAGAACTCTGGATCTTCTTGCCTCCCTCGATTTCTGAGAACCGGGATTCCAGATGCTATGCCTGACTCTAATTTTTACACACAGTGGTTTATCATTAACTTTTAACCAAATGAGAAATGTTTTATGTTGTTAATTTGTTCATCTTTCTTGACTTAAGAGTTTTAGTTTTTGTTTAGGAAGATCTCTATCACATCAAGAGCTATAAATTTAACTTTTACGTATATGAGTAGTACACTGTAGTTATCCTCAGACACACCAGAAGAGGGCATCGGGTTCCATTACAGATGGTTGTGAGCTACCATGTGGTTGCTGAGAAATGAACTCAGAACCTCTGGAAGAGCAGTCAGTGCTCTTAACCACTGAGCCATCTCTCCAGCCTCCTAAATTTAACTTTTAAATTTTACCTTTACATTTTTCAACACATAAAGTTCATTCCTTTCATTTGAGAACATGAAGTCCTTGCCTGGAGAAGGTCTTAGAACTCCCAATGAGAATAAAGAGTGGCTTATCTCTAGCTATGCTAATGTACATCACATGGTCACTACCCAAGTATTAAAGGGCTCTTAAAGTAGTGTGTATATTTTCAATATTTCCCAGTAAGCTTGTCAGTTTATTTTGGCCTTTCATACATAGCTTAGTAGTTAATTGAGTACAGTCTTCATCTCGACTGTGAGTATTGTCAAATTGAGAGTTTTACTGTCCTTCATTCTTCATAGGAAGAGGGGAGACTGTCTGGGTATGGTTTGAGCTTTTGAAATTTGAAAGCCCACTCCTAGTGACATGCTTGCTCCAACAAAGCCACATCTTCTAATGGTTTCAAACAGCTCTATCGGCTGGCGACTGAGTATTCAAATGGCCTATGGAGGCCATTCTTATTCAAACCACCACATTTATCTCTCCCAGCTGGAATATTAGGTGTCCTTAAAGTAAAAAATCTTTAACTGTTATGTTTGCTTAAAAAAAAAAAACAACTCTTGGGTGCTAGAGAGATGGCTCAGTGGTTAAGAGCACCAGCTGTTCTTCTAGAGGTCCTGAGTTCAATTCCTAGCATCCACATGGTAGCTCACAATGTTTATAACTATAGTCCTATACAATCCAATGCCTTCTTTTTGTGTGCAGATGTACATGAAGACAAAATTACCCATATACATAAAATAAATTTTAAAAGTATCTTAGTGCCTTAGAATCTGAGTGGTTATTATGTATTTTTTGAGTGACATAGACAGTATTTGATATGTATTTGACTATCATCTTTTCTTTCTCTCTTTGACTAGATTGTAAACTCCCCAGGGCATTTATCGTGTTTCCCAGCATGAATCAGTATCACACTGTCAGGCACACACCCAATAAGCAACCACTAATCAGTTGTTAGAAAGGCAAAAAACATTGTTCTTGGCCAGTTATAATTATTTTGAGGATTGCTCTAGCACTTTTGTTATAAAGGTTCTATATGTTTATTGTAAAATGTTCAAGTTTATGGCTATAGCTCAGTGGTAGATTGCTTGCCTAGAAAGGTTCAATCCCCAACACCACAAGCACACAAACAAGATTTCAGTTCACCTAGAACACTATAAAGAAGGAGGTAATACCTACCACTCTCCTACTTGGATCTGCCCTCACTCTCTCTTCTTCCTGTTACAGATTACTGGTTAAGTTTCATCTGCATCTAGCATATGTGTACCTACAGTTTTTGAGGCAGTATCACACTGGATATTCTGTTTTACAGAGTCTTCATACCTAACAAAGAACAAAAATATTTATACATCTATACTAGAGGTATATCTTTTTAGTGTTTGCACAGTAAGCTGTATTAGTCAGGGTTCTCTAGATGAACAGACCTAATAAAATGAATGTGTATGTAGAAAGGATTTATTAGAGTGGCCTACAGGCTTTGGTCCAGTTAGTCCAATGATGGCTGTCTACCAATGGAAAGTCCAATAACCCAGTAGCTGCTTCGTCCTCCTTGCTGGATACCTCACTAGTCCTCAGTAGATGCCAGAATCCTGAAGAAGTAGAAATGAAGAAACAAGGAATGCCTTGCTCTCCAGTGAAAGCAACAGCAAGCAGAGAGCAAGCACTTCTCTCTTCCATGTTCTTATATAGGCTGTTGCCGGAAGGTGTGGCCCAGGTTAAAGGTGATTTAGATCTCAGAAGATCTAAATGTACTGTGATTCTTCCCACTTCAAATGATTTAATTCAGAACACTCCCTCACAGGTGTGCCCACCTGATTTCATTTTAGCTAATTCCAGATGTTGTCAAGTTGACAACCAAGAATAGCCATCACAGTAGCATAAAATAAAACATTGAAACTTAGTGATTCAGAGTTGTACAATGGAAAAAGTTTATACAAGCTATAAGTTATGTTCCAAACATTAGGACCCCTTAATATTTTATAAACTTCAGTCTGACTTCTAGAGAGATCTTAGAAGGATAATAAAGAAAAAAAATGGGATGGGGATATATTGAATTTTACTGATAGAACTTTTAATTAGTGTTTGTGAGGCTCTGGGCTTGGATCCTAGCAGAGGTAAATAATTATTCCAGGAAGTTCTAGTTTAAGTTGTAGCATGTTTATCTTAGTTCAGGATAATGAGACAATAATGTGATGTTAATTAATTATAAATATATTCATTGAACTTATTTGCTGTCTTTAAGCAAAGAGCTTTAGTATCTGTAAATAAAAGAGTCACTTGTTTTGAAACCTCTGGTAGAGATGTGTTGCATCTAGAGCTACAGATGATAGCTACACTGTAAAACGGAGTCTATGTTCAGTCATGAGCTGATGCGAAAAGTGTCTTGTGAGCTGAGTGAAGCAGTGCATTCAAATAGTTCATCAGGGAAAGAAGACTGAAATACTTCACCACAGGCTTACATTGCTTTCCTGTTATAGTCCTCAGAATTATAATTAGTTTCAACATTTTGATCCAGTTAATGAGACAATTTTGTATAATATAATAAATTAACATTTTATGGAAAACACTGAGTAAAGGAACCCCTTTTTAAAGTCTGAGTTCCTTTATTGCTGAAGGTAGGCAAGCATAGGGGACAGGTTACCTTCTGCTTAAAATATTCAGTGTGAATGTTTTTGTTTTTAAATTGCTTCCTCTTTATATTCCTTCCAATTAAGTCAACTTAAGCATCTTCAGTATAAATGACAGAATTTCTAATATTTCAGATTGAACTCATTTGCCAGCAAAATAATATAACAGTATTAGAAGATACAATTAAAAGGCTTAAATCTGTAAGTACATTTTTCATAAATATATGATAAGCAGTCATTTTTATTTAGTTAGTAAGCTACTAAAAGAATTAAATATATCCCTTGACTTGTACCTTTGTGAACAGTAAAACATTTTGTTTTCTAAACTTAACACCCAATCTGGGCATCCTTTTCTTCAGAGTGTCCCTTCTTGCCTCTCTGGTATCACTGCTTTCTTCTAGACTGTGACAGTAACCTTTGGTGGGTTTTAGCAAAGAGGTTTTTAATTGTTACTAGCTTTAAAATGGTGACTTCAGAATTTTTAATTTTTTGATATATATGATACATTCTTCTATACTTTAAATTTTACATCTTTCATAATTATTATTTTTAAGTTATAAGTTATTATTTAGTACCAGTTGATGCTTCATTTATCTTACAGCATGAAAAGTCTTCTGTTTAAATATTTTAATTTTTTATTTAAAATATTTAAAACACCATCTGAAACATGTCAACTTTTTCTCAGTATTCATAAAGCAAATATAAAAACATTTTAAAAGTTTTTCTAAATATCTGTGTGAATGGGAGTTCATGGCAAGGTTCCTGAATGTATGAACTGTTGAGAATTTATTACATATCCATTCATTGAACAAGTATTGAACAAACACAGACCCTGAAGTGTGATGTAATAGGAAGGAGTCCAAAGTCATTCTGTTTCTAAGATTGGCTTCAGGTCTGGATGTTTCTGAAATTACTAAATATATATATATATATGTATATGTATGTATATATATATATATGTATATGTATATATATGTATATATATGTATATATATGTATGTACATATATATACATATACATATATATGTAAGTAATTATATAAATTAAATATAAATAAAATATATAATAAGCGTATAATAGCATATATTCTTTTGTAGATGATTAAATTAGTGTTTTATTTAAATAAAGCACACCCAAATGGTAAAAATTATTTTAAAAATGGTGTTTTTTAAAAAAATAATGAATAAGTTTTTACATGTTCTATTTTAAAAAATATTAAATTTAATATTTTGAAGACTTCTTTGTGTTTCTGTTTTTAAAAGGATGCTATAATTTAGCTTAAAATAATTGCTTAACTTTTTCCTCCTTGGCAAGATAATTTTAGAGACTGAAAAAGCACAAAATCAATCTCCTTCCAGACTTGATTCCTTTGTCAAGACTTTAGAAGCAGACAGAGATTATTATAAGACTGAGGCTCAGCATCTGAGAAAGATGATGAGAAACAGATCTAAGAGTCCAAGGCGCCCGTCACCGACGTCCCGGGTAGGTTGGGAGGACATTTGTTAATCTTTTAGTTTGTTTCTCAAGTTCTGACGTTTATTCTTTGATTTATTTAATTTGGGACTAACTAATTTGGCATTTTGCATGAATTACAGTATCAAAGAGGTTGGGAGACAGGTGTCTCTGATGGCTCAGTGAACAACAAAGCTCTTTATTCCCAGTAAAAGTTGTGGTTGGGAGCTAATAAGACCAATGTGGTGCAGTTTGGGATGAGGTTGTAAAGGTGATTTTGCTGTTGTTTTTCGTTCCTTTTATCTGTGGTCATGGTCACTAAGGAGAGACTGCACTGCCAGCAGCCACACTGCCTCCTCAGTACTCAGAGAGAAAGGCTCTCAAGCCAGGGCTACTGCTGTACATGTGTGTCTTCTCAGCACCTGGGGGGCAGAGGCAGGGGGATCAGGAATCCAAGGCTAGCCCTGGCTTCATAGTGAGTTCAAGGTCAGCTTGAACTATCTGAGACTCTGTCTCAACAGCAAAAAGTAAAGCAAGAACTTGAGATATCTTAACTAATAATTCTAGGGTGCAAACTGTGACGTAGAGCTTTTGAAGTCAACTGCAAGAGACCGTGAAGAGCTGAAGTGTATGCTAGAAAAATACGAACGTCATTTGGCAGAAATCCAGGGCAATGTCAAGGTTCTCACATCTGAGAGAGACAAGACTTTCCTTCTTTATGAGCAGGTAATCATATAAATACACAGATTGTATAAGTAACAGCACTCACTTCTAGAAGTTTGCAATTCTTGTGTAGGTTTTATGACCACAAGTAAACATGCCAGTCAAATTAATCTAACACTTGGAATTATATTTTTTCCTAAGGTATTCTCTTTTCCTTTTCTTTTATTGTGGTGCTGGGAATCAAACCCCAGGACCTTGTGCATTCTAGGCAAGTACTCTACCACTGGGCTACATCCACAGCCCTGTTCTCAAGGTACTCTTCTTTTTTTTTTTTTCATTGTAATAATTTTTCATTAATTAATGTATTAACTTTACATCTGATGGCAGTCCCCTTCCTCCTCTCCACCTTCTCACCCCCTTCTCCCGTTACCCCTCTCCCTACCCTTCTCCTCAAAGAAGGGGAGGACCCTGCCCTGAGTACCAACCTATCCTACCACAACAAGTCTCATCAAGACTAAGTACATCCTCTCCCACTGAGACCAGACAAGGCAGCCTTGGTATTAGGGGAAACGGATCTAAAGGCAAACAGCTGAGTCAGGGACAGCCACCACTCCAAATACACAAAGACCAAGCTACACATCTGCTACATATTTGTAGGTGGCCTAGGTCCAGTCCACACATGTTCTTTGGTTGGTGGTTCAGTCTCTGTGAGCCCTCATGGGCCCAGGTTAGTTGACCCTGTAGGTCTTCTTGTGGTGTCCTTGACCCCTCCAGCTCACTCAATCCTTCCCCCAACTGTTCTGAAGACTCCTTGAGTTCTGCTTAATGTTTGGCTGTGGGTCTCTTATCTTTTTCCATCAGTTGCTAGATAGATGAAGCCTCTTAAATGACAGTTACGCTAGGTTCTTGTCTGCAAGCATAGCAGAGTATAATTAATAGTGTCAGGGGTTGGCTCTCTCTCATGGGGTGGGTCTCAAGTTGGGCCAGTCATTGGTTAGCCATTCCCTCAATCTCTGCTCCATATTCATCCCTGCACATCTATCTTGTAGGCAGGGCAAGTATAGATATTGAGCAACTGCATATCCTTTTCTGAAATCAAGAGACCATCTGTCTTAGGGTTTTACTGCTGTGAACAGATACCATGACCAAGGCAACTCTTATAAGGACAACATTTAATTGGGGGTGGCTTACAGGTTCAAGGGTTCAGTCCATTATCATCAAGGCAGCATCCAGGCAGGCATGGTGCAGGAGGAGCTGAGAGTTCTACATCTTTATTTGAAGGCCACTAGAAGACTGGCTTCCAAGCAACTAGGATGAGGGTCTTAAAGCCCACGCCTATAGTAGCACACCTAATCTAACAAGGTCACACCTCCTAATAGTGCCACTCCCTGGGCCAAGCATATAGAAACCATCACACCAGCTGAGTAGATAATCATCAAAATTGAGAGTCAGGAAGCAAAGTGGGATATAAAATCATCTGTAGATATGCAGCAGATCTGGGGCCTCAGGATTGTTGAATAAGTGTTCAGAGACCATGTTGGGGTGTGAGTAAGGACTGGTGGAACTTCCTGTCAGGGTAAAAGTAGCCAAGACAGAAATAGCATATATAGAAATATAGCAAAAATGAGAAAGATAAGCACTGTGGATGTTCATTAGACAAATATTCCACCCAAGGTGTGTTGAGGTCAAATTTATATCTCAGAGTGGGCAAGTGGAACATATCAAATCTATCTTAGCTACACACACATATACACATATATATCACATATACACACCCACTATCTATATATATATGGTTGCACTTATTTATGAACTCTTGAAAATAAAATTTCTACCATTTCCTTATTTCCTTGTTGCTTGCATATTATTCTGGTTTCAGTTTTAACCAACTGGATATACTGTATGTGTAACTTAAGTTTTTCTTTTTAAAAATTCTATGTATTTCTATCATAGGCACAGGAAGAAATTGCTCGACTTCGACGAGAAATGATGAAAAGCTGTAAGTCTCCTAAGTCAACCACAGCACATGCTATTCTTCGTCGGGTAGAGACGGAGAGAGATGTAGCCTTCACTGACTTACGAAGAATGACTACAGAGCGAGACAGTCTGAGGGAAAGGCTCAAGGTATGGCAGTGTTCTGTGTGTCTTCAGTGGTACAGCGTTGTGGCAGTGGCACTGAGCCTGCTTTGTTGTGCTTGTGTCTTAAACAGATTGCTCAAGAGACAGCGTTCAATGAGAAGGCTCACTTGGAACAGCGGATAGAGGAGCTGGAATGCACAGTTCACAACGTAAAACAAAACCCTTGCTCCTACACCCCAAGCTCTTCCCTGTCTCTTTGTACTGTGTTAGGAAGAGTTCTTGTAGTTTTCTAAGATTTCATTTGCAGTCTTAAACTACTTAGGTGACTCGCATGATGTGTTATTTCCTTAATCCTGTGTCACCTATCCACACAGTCAGTCTCCTCTAGAGAAACAGGGGTTCAGCTTGTTATTTTTGGTGTGTTTGGTTGCAAAGCTTTTTTGTTTCTATTGTTAGGATGTAGTCTCAGGAATATTAACTTTAATTGGAATTTATTTATTGGGGGGGGTGTACAGGCTCTCATTATATAGCCCAGGTTGGCTTTGAACCCATGATTCTGCTGCTTCAGCCTCCTGAGTGTTGGCATTATAGTACCACTACACTTTGCTAAATTTTCATTTTTTTCTTATCTCCATGTTCAGTTGAAGATGATATTGCCAAATATGAGTATATCAAGCATTTGGGGGTACTCTAGTTATATATTTGCAGTGTTTCAGGTACAGAAGTAGTTAAGGGTTTGAATGTACTGATATGTTCATTTGAGGTATTTCCTATATGTAAAAAAAACAGACAAGAGAAAAAATTATTTTCATAGTCCTACTTTATGTGTAATATATTAATCTTAGACAATGAATGAATCTTTTTTACACATTCATTATGTATATAGTCAAATTGAACCAGATTGAGAAAGGTAGACTGACATACTGAGATAGACAGGCTTTATAGAAACACTATATAGTGACTTGGTTTTATTCCTATTATAAAATACTTTATCCATAAAACCTTCTGCAGCATTCAGGTCTACCCTAGTGATTGTCCCATTGTGCAGATTCTGCATGTTGTAAGAGGAATATCTCTCTGCTGCTAGGACCAATAAGACTCCGCACTGTTGGTAGCTAACTCTGTCATTCCACTTGTGTAGCTTGATGATGAGCGCATGGAACAGATGTCAAACATGACTTTGATGAAGGAAACCATAACCACTGTGGAAAAAGAAATGAAATCATTAGCAAGAAAGGCAATGGACACCGAGAGTGAGCTTGGCAGACAGAAAGCAGAGAATAATTCTTTGAGGTAAACACTACATTGCCGTTAAACAACCAGCAGTTTGCTGTACCGAACTTCCCTGCTTTATAGTACATTTCATAATGAAAAATAGGAAGCAGTTATAGAAACCTCAGCAACATGTAATGGTGTCCTGAAAACACTCCAACACTCATTCTAATGTTAAGTTTGCAACATGTGTTAAATTTAATGTTTTTATACAGTTTTTATACAGCTCTCTGAAAACTGAGATACTTAACTTTGGTATTTTATTGTTTAATGTACTTTTATAACTTTAAATTCTTTTCTAGGATCTGAACAATTTAAGAAAGCCCAGGCTCAAAACCTTAAGGGAAAGATGGTTCCTAACACAGGAGTAAATTGGTTAACCCTTTCATTAGACTAGTATAATGGCAGGAGGATTGTTGCTGGAGCAGTTTGTGGGCAGGAAGACACCTATATACCCAAGATTCTACGTTAGTATTTGTTCTTGTGAAACAAAACTACTCAAGTTTCAGTAGAGATAAATTTCTCTTTACCTATAGACATGAAAAATGTTAGTTGATGTGAATGTGTAATATATTCTTAAATCTACAGAAAATAATTGGGCCATGTGTGAGTTCTCAGAGTCTGCCCTTGATCTTGAGGACCTGGGGTACATAGTAGGAACCACTTGTCTGGACAGATAATTACTCAAACCCCCTGCTTTTCTTTGTAAAACTTCTTCTCCTTATAATGCTATTGTAAGCTCACACAAAATGCAAGTGATACCAAAGAAAGCAAACAACAACAACAAAGCAAACCTTGAGAAATAAAGAGAAGTAAGGAAAGGTTAAAGTCATCTATATAAAAGGGAAAAGGTTAGTGTAGAACTACTTCCAGCCAGAAATCTGTTCAGTGTAGCACAGACGTTTCCTGTGTGACTGAACTCAGCGGGTGGCTGTTTATACCTGGTGTTTTGACTTCATCACATGGGACTCTGTGTTGTTAGAAGTTCTTACAAATGTGTAATAACCTGGGTGTGCTTTGTTCCTTTGGTACAGGACTGTGCTGTGTGGCTCTGCACTTCTGTAGTGCTCCGCTTCTGTAGGATAGCAGTGTGCACCCTGCCCAATGGTTTCAAGAGGTTTTTGTTGTTGTTTTTGATGTATGTTTGCTTATTTGAAAACTTTTATTGATATATTACTGAAGCATATACACTAAACAGTCAATATTTGATATGCTAAGGTTGGAAAACTTTGACCTTTCAAGCCATCACCACAATCAGGGTTCTAGCTTATTCTGCACTCTTACTGTGATTTCACACAGTGTTGATTCTCAGGTGACCATTGGTTTTATTTCAGGCATGTAGGTATTTGAATTTTCTAAAAAGTTAAACCATTGAAATCATATTGTATATGTTGCTTAATCAGGCCACTTTCCCTCAGTGTGTTTAAGATTTGTTCTCCATGTATTCATGCTGTATATACTTTATACTGTCTGATTGCTGACTTGTATGCCACGGTGTGGGTATATACATTGACACTTGCATTGTTTCCAGTTTGGGGCTATAATGAATAAAGCCACTAAGTTCTTCCCTATGTTAGTCTTTGTGTGCACATATGTTTTATTTCTTGGATTTATATCTAGGAATAAATGGCTAAGTTATATGATATATTCTGGGAACCATTAAAGTCTTTCTCAGTGTGGCTGTAGACTGTGCACTTCTCCGTAGTGTTGAGTTTTTCAGTAGGTACATATTCTTGCTGACATTTGATATGCAGTTCATTTTTAACACCAGCTATTATTTTGTTTATAGTTCTATTTTTAAATTTTATAAAAATTTAGCTTTAATGTGGAATAAAAATTATATGTATTTTAAGACTATAGTATGTTGTATATGTTTTGATACATATACATTGTGAAATGATACTTTGTGAACTTGCCTGCTGTGCTCACTGCTCCCAGATCCTGTTTGTGCAGGTAAGTACTTAGTGCTGGCAACTAGGCAGTTCTTTTCTGGCCCTTTGTCCCTTTCTTCTGTATTTGTGAGGGAGTGGTTTTCTTTATTGAGGCTTCAATCCCATTATCTTTTGTGTATTACGTTTGGTTCATTGTGGTTATCATGAGGTTTACTACTACATTCTCTAGTTATGGCAGTCTTTTCAATGGCAACAGTGTTATTCACATGGAAGGGCAGCCGTCTATTGAGATAAATACACTTCAGGTCACTATGCACATAAGTGACTTTGCTAGATCAGTGGGGTAGCTGTGTCTTTCAGTGTTTGAAGCACTTTAAAGAAATTTAAAATACTATACTCATAGATCAGTGCCTTGTTCAGCCATCTTCAGAGAAGCTTCTTCCTGTAGCAGATGCAAACAAACGCAGAGACCCATAGCCAGACATTATGCAGAGAGTGAGAGACCTTGGAACACTGAGCCCCAAATGGGCTGTCTCTATCAAATCCCTCCCCTCAGAGATCAGGGAACATTGTGGAAGAAGAGGCAGAAAGATTTTAAGACTTAGAGGGGATGCAGGACACCAAGAAAACAAGGTGAGCAAATATAAGCAAAGCTCATATGAACTAGCAGAGGCTAGAACAGCAGGGTCTGTATGGGTCTGCACCAGGCCTCTGTGTGTACATTACAGCTTCTAGTTTAGTATTTTTATGGGATTCATGAGTGAGTGAATGAGTAGGTCTCTGATTCTTGTGCCTTCCTTTGGGCTTTTTCTGTTGGTCTGTCTTATCCAACTTTGATTTGATAGTTTTTGTTTTATAATATTTTGTTATAATTCAATATCTGGGCTGGAGAGATGGCTCAGAGGTTAAGAGCACTGACTGCTCTTCCAGAGGTCCTGAGTTCAATTCCCAGCAACCACATGGTGGCTCAAAACCATCTGAAATGGAATCTGATGTCCTTTTCTGGTACTCATATACCAAGTATTTAAAAAAATATTATTTAAAAAAATCAAATATTTAAAAAAATCAAAAAATAATAATTCAATATCTTTAGAAGCATGTTCTTTCCTAATGAGGAACAGAAAGGGAGTCTGATGGAGGGAAGGAAGGAAGGAACTGGGAGGAGTAGAGGGAGGAGTTTAAAAACAGGAAATAAAAAGAAACCAAAATAAATATATAAATAAAATAAAAATAAAATGGTAGTTATCTTTATAGGAGTGAAGTGATATTGCCGTTTGATCTGTGTTGTGTAATGCCACGCCTGGTTTTGCTAAGAGGTTTGTGAAGTTCCTATCTAGATGTTTATATTTTCCCTGGAAGTGCAGAGTCTCAGTCAGTGTTTCTGTAAGGGTCTTCACTACACTCGTGCAGGTGACTGTTATCTCTGCAGGTGACTGTCTGGTCCGAGGGCCCGTAGGCCTCTCAGCTCCTCTTCACTCGCCCTCTTCAGCAGCAGTGTTTCTAAGTGTAGTGGCTGTGCGTCACGGCTGTGAGTTTACAGCTTGTTTCTCCTGCCTCGTCATGGCGGCTGCTGGTGCCGCCTCACCTTTACTCCTTGTTATTTCTGCTTTAACTCCAGATTTCTCCTGGACTCCTAGAAATAATTGTAGCCTATCTGCTGAATATTTTATTGGTGTGTTGTTTTCCTGATTTCACTAACATGTGTATTTATGTTCTCTTATAGCTTGATTAACTGTCTGAATCACTTATTTTGAGTTTTTGGCCATGTACCTTCTAGATTTATATTTTTTGGGAGATTTTGTCATTTTTTGTCCCCCCCCCCCCATGGCTCTTGGTTTTCATTGATGTATGCACATTTATTGCCAAGTTTCAGCAGGGATGCATCTTCACACAGCAGTGAGTACAAAATCCAGTTCATGCAGTGGTGAAGGCACAGTGGCCAATCTTCACCAGTGAGTCAGTTGTGGTTGGTGTCAGCACAGGCTGTGGGCGTGTGTCTTCAACAGCCATGACTGTGGATGTCTGAGTGATGCTGATGCTATTACAGATCTTCCACTTGTTTTCTCTTTTCTCCAAGGAGAGACTATGAATGAGGACATCTGTCTTGACACCTGTGTGGTACATGTGGGCATGCCTGCCGCAGAGCCCAGGTCCAGCATCATTGTGCTTGGCTGCTTTTTCTCCAAGGATAGATGCATGGATATGTTTGTTCCAGAAATGGTAGTGACTGGGGTAGGGTGACTGGGGAGCTCAGTGTGGAAGTGAGATGTGTGCAGTGATGGTGACCCTAGAGCTCAGGGACCAGCTAGCTCACTCTGCTTCCATACAAGGTATCTGGTCCTGGGTGTTTGTGGAGCACTGGCAAAGTTATAGTGTGCAGTGCACATGCACCATACATGCATATATGCGTATGCTGAACATGCACAGCACATGGGACAGGCCCAAGGCAGTGCTAGCCTGTGGAAGTACTGCTTCTGGTATCTGAGCTGCAAGCAAGCCCAGGTCACTTATTGCTCTGTGGTTTGAAGCACACGTGGATATTGATGGAGTGGTCATAGCCCAAGGGCAGCAGACAATATGACTCTTTTTTGAGAGGAAGGCCATAACAGCTTCTCCCCATTAAGCTGACTTGACCTATGGTGGGGACTGATGGTGGTTACCTTCACGGTGAAAGCTGCCAATGTCTCATGCAGAATAGGCCACTGGTGACCAAGGGACCAGCCTGTACATGGATGAGACTTGTTCTTAGTGCCTCCTGATATCCCAGGGCTGTGTGTGTGTGTTAGAAAGCTGAAAGCTGGACTGTTTTCTGCCATACTGTGTTTGTTACTGTTTTTTGTTGTTGTTTTTATTTGTTTTGTTTTGTCCTGTCTCAGCTTTCTGATTTCTGGGATCACAGACCTCAGCCATCACCCTGACCTGCCATGTTGTTAAAGTAATTTTTGTTTTTATTTTTGAGAATAAAACTCTATACTGGTTATCTTAGCTTGCTTTCTATTGTTCTAATAAAAAAACATGACCAAAAGCAACTTGGGGAAGAAAGGTTTTATTTGGATCACAGTCCACTGATGGAAGTTGAGGCAGGAGCTGAAGCAGAGCCCATTGGGAAATGCTCTTTACTAGTCTGTC